AAGCTTTGGGTCTTGGCCTTCATGTGGATGTTACTTTGACTTGTACCACCAACCTTAACACTGTAGCAGAGCAAGCACACCTCAATATGGCAATGGCTCTCCAGCAGTGCCCTGCCACAACACAGAAACTGCTCACAAACAGGTCAAGAAACACAACAAAGAGCCAAAGTTGTTGACTTAACCTTCTCAGATCCCAATCCAATTTCCTGAACAAGCCTAAACCAAAACCCCACAATCCACAGCAACCAAAGGATCTGCTGCCAGTGTCCTATTGCCAGACACTACAGGACACCCTCAGAGCTCCCATGTCCATCCTCTAATGGGTCAGAGCTGTTTTGGTACCACAAGCAGACACACACAGTGTTATGCAGCTGGCTTTATTGTTGTGACTGAATTGCAGTAGCATTATGTCCATGTATATGTATGATTGTCTCATAAATAATTCATTGTTTCAGTAAGCAATAACAATAAACCTTACTTGCATCGCACCTTTCACACAAGGGATGCAAGAAATACATGCCTACATGGCCTTCTCAGCTCTCAGCTCTTTACAAAACTCTATATGTTGGTCTGATATTACCTTATACTGCAGCGCCACCTTCTGTTTGATATAAGACAGTGTAGATGCAGATTCAATCCCTGTGACGTGACACAGTGTTAGTGGGAAATGAAAAGAACACTCATTTTCATTTTATCTTCATGCACTTGTCTTAAAGCAGGCTGTCATGATTATATCTTAGTAGACAGGTTGCAAATCCTATACCTGGTGATGCATGCAGCGGCCAAGCAGTGTGCTTTCTTGGTTTTAAAGACAACTTTTATTCCAACTTGGAGAACAGAAAGAGAAATATGATAGCAACAGCCTCTGTCCTTTTCCTCTCAGTACAAAAGTGATCTTTGACCTTTTAAGAGCTACATTTGCCCAGAATATGCCATCAGTTCAAATGTCACATCAGATGAATATTTCTCTGACTCGTATTCTGGTGTTCTGTAATTAGTGCTGGATGAGGAAAATTATTGTCACCATGTGTATAATAGTAAATCAAAGGTGGCTACAAACAATGTTAGATGAGTTTTTTTTTTTCATTTTGTATGTGAAGGAGCCTAAATAGATAAAACTATAAACTTGTGATTGATCCTTGTATCTGGATCCATGGGAGAAGAAACACGAGTGATTTCCAAGTAATTGGGACCAACTGGCAGGGAAGCAAGACAAAAACCAGCTGGAGATTGCGGTAAGGTCAGAATGATACTCCAAAGGAAACAAAGTCAGTCCAAAAGGGTAATAGAAACTAAAGAACAGAAACACTGGGAGGTTTATAAGGAAGAAAAACAGGAAGTGAGCAGCTGAGGACCACAGACAAGTAACAGCAGGTAAACATCCAAACTTGGAACTGATAGAGAAAGATGCAGGACAGTGCACACAGAGATCTATTAAGGAGACAAGACACAAGTGAACTCATAAAGATGGAGTAGACAATTGGGGGGGAAAAAAAGGGTAAAAGCACACACACACACACACACACACACACACACACACATACACACACACTGTAATACTTTCATTAGCAGTGAAGCATGCTGTAAGCACCATTTTCTGCAAGAGACTGCTGGTTAAATTACCTTGTATGAAATCATGTCCTATGCCTGCGGTCCTCAGCCAAGGCTCTGCTCACCGTCCCACAGTCAAGGCTGAGGGCCAAAGGTGACCGGGCCTTTTCTGTAAGAGCCTCCACCCTCTGGAACAGTCTCCCTGAGGAGATCAGATCTGCAAGCAATTTATCCTCCTTTAAAACTCTTTTAAAAACACATTTTTACAGATGTGCTTTCACAGGAGGTGTTGTATGAGTGTACTTTTACTCCGTTTGATGGCAGTATGAAGGGCAGTACATTTT